CAGTTTACAGTGGACCACCACGTCCACTCCCTCCTTGAGTCCTCATGCCCTCTGTGATGTGATGCAGCGGTGTGCTGGTTCATGTTTAACCATCAGCTCCAGGGGGTGGAGGGGCAGGAAGGAATGCCCTACTTTGTAGCGTTTGCTGATTTTCATGGTGTAAATACTCCCGCCATGGCCAATTTCAAGCTACCAATGTGATATCAAAAGGCTCACAAAACTCCTGAAGAGCAATACTTGGCTCTTATGAGCTGAGGAAGGCACAGTGACTCTGGGGATGGTGGCCTGATACGAGATGATCCAGTAAAATCCTGCATTATTCCCATTTTACAGATGAGAAAACTGCTATGCATAGTGAAGAGTGAAAATGTCAAATTAATAATGAGTAAAAATGAAATCCATCATTATATATCATTACTTGATGATAACGATATATTGTGCTAATCGAATGACTGCTTAGCATTGGATATTGGCAAACCCTTTGTGTATGTTATCTTATAGGATTTATATAATAAAGCCTTGAAGTAAGCTCTATTAAAATTTCCACTTTACATATGAGGAAATGGAGGCCAAATAAAGCAGTGAAACACCCTGCCTTAATTTCTTCATTGGTGAAATGAGGGTGATAGTACTACCAAGCTCTCAGGATTGTTCTGAGAACGCGGATTTCTATTTTCAGAACCAAGGACAGTGCGTGGCTAAACTCACCTGGCAAGGAAATACGGAAGGTAGGATTCAAACCCAGGTCGATCTGATGTCAAAACCCACATGTATCCTAAGGTAGGATAAGGGGGGCGGGGGGTCAATGAGAGTAGAACTATACAGAGAGCGAGAGAGAGGGAAGAGTGAGAGAAAGGAAGGGGAGGACAGAGAAGGGATTTGTATTGAGCATTCTCCGTCCCCAATAGTTAGTTTAATTCAAGCCCAGACTTCCAGAAACCAAGATGAAATGTCAGCCATCCCTTCTGCTACCTGAGCTGGAGAGCCTAAGTCTAGTCTGGCACAGGAAAGGTTGCCAAAGTGATTCTTGGACAAACAGCAAACCAGCGCCCAGGGCCCCAAGTGGAATGTTACATTAGAAAGGCACAGAAACCAGTGGTTCGCAGCCTGGCTGCACATCGAACCTCTTAGGAGCCGTAAAACAAACCGGATGCTGAGCCCCACCCAGACCAATTCAATAGGACTCTCTCGGGGTGGAGCATAGGCAAAGGTACTTAAAAAAGCTCCCACCACGATTCTAAAGAGCACCCAAGGCTAAGAAGAACTGATGCCCTAGAGCAGGGGTGGGCAAACTTTTTGACCGGAGGGCCACAATGGGTTCTTAAACTGGACGGGAGGGCCGGAACAAAAGCATGGATGGAGTGTCTGTGTGAACCAATCTAAATTCAAAGTAAACATCATTACATAAAAGGGTACGGTCTTTTTTTCAATGGTTTTATTCATTTCAAATGGGCCGGATCCGGCCCCGTAGTTTGCTCATGGCTGCCCTAGACACAATCCCCGATTGAACTGGTGAGGAAACTGAGTCACAAAGAGGCTTAATGCCTTCCGGATCCGGCCCGCGGGCCGTAGTTTGCTCACAGCTGCCGTAGACACAATCCCCGATTGAACTGGTGAGAAAACTGAGTCACAAAGAGGCTGAATGCCTTTCCCCAGGTTACATCTTAGTATGTGGAAGGGAAATACTCAAACCTGCTCTGTGTAGCTGGCATGTCCCCTCCAGGACTCACTGTGCCTGTGCTGAGACTGACACCCAGGAGGAAGCAGCAAGCATGATGCTGTGTCCCTCCCAGGCAAAATTGGCAGAAGTCGGACATCCTGGGAGGAGATGCCCCCCACACCTCCACAGAAACAGCATGGGCTTTGGCATCCGAGAGCCCTGGGTTCAAATCCCACCACTTCTCCACTCTGTGCCTTTGTCAAGTCTTTCCTTCTGTTTGACCTGTTTCCTTGCCTGAAATGTGCAGAGATGCTATGAGGATTAAAGTGATGGATTCAAGTGCCTGGGGAAGCCAGGCATGTAGTAGGTGCTCAATCAGAGTTATTCCTTTCACGTCTCTTGGTCGGGTCCCAAGGTCTCTGGGGCCATGTCCTTGGCCATGAGTAGAATATCCCAGAGCACCAGTTTCACGGGGGAGGGGGCTTGCCCACCCCTCATCTCTGGTTTACCCGGGTGGTTCTGACATAGCTCCCCATGGAGTCAGAATTGCAACCCCTGTCTTGGCTCCCAGGCCAGAATTATTTCCTTTCTTGTCCCTTAACGCTTGCTACCTGTAAAGTCCAACAGAGACCCAAACTTGTGCTCCAGGACCCCCAGGAGAAGCCCCAGTTGGCTCAGGAAGGAGGGAGGAGGTAGTGCTATGGGGGGTGGAGCTCAGG